TTATAAACTAATAATTTAATCATTTTATTAAGTAGTTAAAACTTATTAATATTATTAATATTATTAAAAAAAACTAAAATAATTAAAATCTAGTTTATCTTAAAAATTATTAAATTTTAATAGTTTTTTAAATTAAATTATAAAAGTATATTAATATTAAAAGCCTTTTTTAAAAAAAAAGCTATTTATTAATATTATTAAAAGGTTTTAAAAAGCTTTATTATAATTATTAAAATAAAGTTATTAAAAGCTTTTAAAAAGCTTATATTATAACCTTATTAAAATTAAATTTTTAATAATTAAATTTCTTAATTATTAACTTTTTAAGTAATTAATTAAATAATAATTAATATTTATAAAAAAGGCTTATTTTCTTTCCCTAGATAGCTTTAATCTAAGGATAATTCCACGCTTTAATCTGCTTCCATAACTATCAACGTGATAGCCAACGTACAAATACCGTACTTGCCGCCGCTAATGTACACGTCCGACATGAAGCCGTCGCTGCCGTTTTCCGTAAAGAGGCCCATCTGGTTGGTGCCGGGATCCGTGCTGGTGTAGATGTAGACGTTGGTCATGGAGGTTGCCTGGGCCACCTGCCAGTGGAAGGCGGCCGTCTTCTTAGTCGTGGTCTAGCGAATGTCGACGTTGAAGTTGCGGACCTGGCGGTAAAAGTTGGACTGCTCAATGTACCACTCGTCGCCGTTTTGGTTGGGAATGTAGACGTCGCTCTGGATGGCGCCCAGGCCGACAAAGTCCTTGCTGATGACGATGGTAGGGACGTCGTTGGCGTTGCCCACGAGCTGCGAGTAGTACATGGTGTTGATGGGAGTGGAAATCAGGTACTTTCCGGGAGGGAAGTAGACAAGCGTGCCCTTGACCGAGGAGGAGAGGCAGCCCTCGCCGCAGTTGCCGCCGTAGGCGATGGCAGCTGATACATGACCAGACGTTAATTAGGCTCTACGAATCGTGGCTTTTGGACTCACCGTTGATGGCATCCGTGTCGTCGTGAACACCGTCTCCCTTGGCGCCGCCCGCAAACATGGGGTTGGTCACGTCTCGAAAGACGGGCCATGAGCTGTTGGCCCCCATGGGCGCCAGTCCAGTGTGCTTGATGTCCTGCAACCAGTACTTTGACGTCAAGTCACGGGCGTCGAGGCTGCCGCTGCTGCTGCCAGTACGCGGTTTGAGATGACGTGGTTGGGGGTACTCTGGCTGTGTCTTGTTGGCATTTTGCTTGGCCTGATGCTCGGCGATTATGGCCGCTGCCTTGCGCAGCGCAGGAGTCAGCGTCGGAGCCCGAGGCCCGGCGTTGGCAGTTCTCTTGCTGCGCGCAGCTGAGGCCTTGGAGATTTCCTCGTTGCGCTTGGGGTTGGCCACGCGGTGCGCGTTGTAGTCGCCCTGCTGCTTGGAAGCTTCCTGAACAAGCTTGAGAGCTTCCGCGAGCGTGGCGTCTTCCGACGTGGAGTTGAGCTTTACGCCTTTGGGGTAAATAGCTCTAGACTGGAACAAGAAGCTATCGGAACGCGACGCCGAAGTGCCATGCTTCGACTCTGTTGCGGCAGTGGTCTGTGAAAGGCTGGCTAGAGACAGGCAGAGGAGCCATATCCCCGACACTGCGACCATTCTGGCTCGTGAATGACAAGATTGAGTGAAGAATGAAAGAACTATTGAAATGAAAAGGGAAAAAAGCCAATGAGCGTAGAACAACAAGATGAAAAGACCTAACAAGGGACAAGCAGGCTACGCACACATGGCAACTTGATTTCTTCCAAAGGCTTGCTCCTCGTTTCATAAATGCAACTTATACCGTCGGCCCGAAGCTTGCGCCAGAAGCACGCCGTAGTATTTCATGTATTTATACCAGACATCCTTCTACCCTGTGCAACACATAGAGCGGACTGCAGGGTTTGGTCTGACTTTGTCTTGGTCTGGTCTACGGAGTAGTAGTATTGAAATCATGCCCGTTGCACAACATTTGAAGCATGCGAGAGTCACACAAAGCCCTTGTTTTCTCGCTCAAGGTCGCGTTCCAGTCACAAGGTAATTGCTCCCCCAATTTCCCTGCAAATTTGACCGAGTTTATGGCTAGCCCCCTTTTCAAACCTGCCTCCCAAAAACCAGACCTCATCATTCCCATCACTGTGACATGGAGACATGGGGCGCGCAGCATCGCGACGGCATTGGCAGGTGGCGCTCTCCGCGTCTTCTACAACCTGCAGGATTGTTCCGCATTCTCGATTACGGAGCTCGTTTGACCAAGAAAAAGAAACTGGTGCACGGATAACACGGCACGATGTGGCCTTGGTAAGGTTCGGGGTATGGGGATGGCCCAGGTCAGCAGTTGGAGGCTTCATTTCCTGCTCCCAGTCTTGGTCAGCGGGCGGGTAGAACAGGCATGCCGAGGCTAAGTTTTGGAAAACGAGAAAGCACCAAGATCATGGGACGCGTCTTGTGTACAGGTTCCGTAGAGCCTGACATTGTTCAGCTTCCTCTACCAACGTCGTAAAGCTCCTCGCCGTTGCTGCCATTCGTTGCCCGTCATTTACTTGCTTCTAAAGACATATTCTCTCCCCGTTGCAAAACGTCGCCACAATGCGCGTTTTCATTTTTCTGTGGCTAGTCGGCACCGTCGCGGCTCTAGCCGATGCCGTCATTTGGGAGGGAGAGGGCTGGTACAAGGTGTACTTGTTGGAGAGAGTCTTGTTCCCCGACGACCCCAACAGCTGGACCACCTGCGAAGGGTGCAAGTACTGCATGCGGCCTCTCTACAAAAGCATTCATGCTGATATTGGGCAGGCAAGCGTCTGGGTAAACGCCGGTCAACCAACGACGCCTTTACAAAGGCCTTTGCAAAGGAACTGGAAGCCCGCGGCCTCCCCACCAGCACCGTCTCTGTGGCTGAGTTCTTCGTAGGCATTGGCACAACAAACGGTCACTTCAGAAGATTTGGTTCAGAAGACGGAGGCAGCGAGGTCAAGAAAAAGTTCCTGACTCTGAACTACAAGATGACGGATCTTCTCGACGAGATGCGTCTCCAGCGCGCTATCAAGGGGACCAACAATTTCAAGTTTGCCGCCTCCAAGATCATCGACCACTCCAACTTTCCGGAGGCCGACTTCAACGATGGCGAGCTGTTTGACGTGGCGAAAATGCAGAGGCTCATAAGCGCGCGCGCCGAGCAGCTCCGGACCATGGCCAAGGAAGGTTCTTGTGACAAGGGCCTAGCTTGGAGCAATTACTCAATTCATCTAATAACAGTCTTTGGTATCAAAGGTCCTTGGTTTTCCTTAAGGCCTTGAGGGACCGAAGCCGTCTATTTATACAAGAAGTCGGTGAGAGCCTTCTGCCCTAATCCCGTGACCGTAGCCCTTGTGTAACCAGCCATTTCCGTGTAACAGTTCTCCCCAAGCCAGTCTCATCGAGTCGTGGGTCAAGGATAGGGCAAACGCGCTCGAGGTGGAAAACATGTACCGAAACGCCGACCAGGTACGGTGGAAGTCCGACTGGGTCGATAAGGAGCTCAAGTATGGACCGTCCAACTCGTACAAGCAGATCAAGACACCCAGGCTCGTCATCTTCCCCAACGGCACCCGCCCCGAGAAGGACCTCCACCCAAACAGGCCGCCCAACACGCCAGACTTGGAGATCTGGGAAGAGGTCGACATGGACAAGACCCTTGCGCAGGGCGGTCAATCCTCCATCGTCAAGGACAAGACAAAAGCGGCTACGAAAAAGGCTGGCACATACGGCAAGTGGCAAGGGGACCCGGATCCGCAGAAGAAGGCCACAATTCACATGGAGACTATCCGCGCCAACAGTGAGATGATTCCGTTTCACAGGAATCAAAAAGGCGAGTTCCTAAAGTGCCACAGCAAGCCAGGCAGGTGCAGCGCCCTTCTGAGATGTAGAGGTAGCTGAATCAGCAAGGCTTACCGTTGAAAGTGACCTATCTGCAACCGTGGCTGCTCGTCTTGCACGATACCGACGGTGGAGAGTTGGACAGATTACATGGATGAGAAATCAGAAAATGAATTTATTGAAATACGCTGCTATGTAACTTTCTGATACTTTGTGAAAAGGACTTTTAATTTGCACGTAGGACGTAGATTATCCTTGTTCATTCAAGAGTTGTCTTGCAACCAGCATCCTCTCGTTCTTAAAAGTTACACGTCGCAGCTAGTAATATTGTACGTATATACCTAAGTACGTACAAGAAGAAAAAGTACCGGACATGTATGAATTCCAAATCTGGAAATTGAATGGGTTACATTGTACAAATACGAGGCTGTATAAAAGCTGCGCTGCGAGGAACGAACCAGCTTATACTAATGCCGTAGTACACAGTAGAGTAGGATTAATTTCCGGGCAACGTACATGGAGCTGCTAACGAGTAGCCCAGCCTTGTGCTTTCCTAAACAGGAAGCTCAAACGTGGCGCGGCCCGGAGTGAAGAAAGATTAGACGAGGCTGCAGGTGGGGTCCCAAATTCCCAATGCAGGAGCTGGACACGCCCCAGGGGTGCATCTTTACTCAACTTGGTTTGTACGCCGAACCGCAAAGAAATTTCCCCGTACGCAGCACAGAAGAGAGAGAGAGAGAGAGAGAGAGAGATAGAACCCCGGTAGACAAAGAAGAGGGACAGGAGAGCCCTGCCGTGCTCGCTTACAGTCCGCGTTCAAGGCGCCCCTTGCCCGTTTACGTATAGTCTTGCCCTCCCACGTTAACTGACGTTGGCAACATGGCCAGTACGTTGTTTCCTTTTTCCTGACTACAGCGCAAACATCATGATGCCTCTGTCCATGAAATTGGCCGGCCTGGTCTGGTGTACCGCCCTACGAGCAGCTGGTTCGCCCGGACCGCTGGGAGTCGTTTGACTACAACTCGACATACCGCATCTGCTGTCCCAAGTATGCTTGGTAGTCTTTTTTGACAACGTAAAGGACCTCTCCGCTGACGCCCGCCAGGGACTTTGGCCTCTACGCTCCCGGCCTCGTCAGCAACAAGGATCGTCCTGGCCTGGGCGCGTGGTGCACGTCCTGGGTGCCGCCTGGCACGCACGCGGCCTTGACCCGATACTATACTGACGGCGGCTCGTCGCTGATTGACACGACGCTGGGAACCGCGGAGAATTGGCTAGTGCAGGCGACGGCTTTTGATGGTATCATCGCCACCAACGTGCCCACGTCGACATCCACTTCCTCAAGTAGCACGTCCTCGAAGACCGTTTCAACGCCCAAGTCTACGCCTGCGACGACTACCACTACCACAACCCCCACCGCGAAGCCGAGCTGGACCGGCCCGACCGCCGTCAGCGATCTCCCGCAGTGCGGTGTAAGTATTTGCTCTTGTCCCTGGAGCGCGAGCTTCCCATGCTGATGGCATATACGTAGCAAACATGCATCAATAACATGCTAGCCAAGCACCGAGAGCTGGGCTGCGGTGACAAGGGCGTGGCCTGCATGTGCCGCGCGCCCAACTTCAACTACGGCATCCGCGACTGCGCCAACGGCGCCTGCAGCAACGAGGACCGGGCGAGTACCGTCATCTCCTTTGAGACTTCGTACTGGTGTCCGTCATTTATGGCGACCGGCACCAACTCTCCGACGCAAACCCCTACGCCTACGCCTACGGCCACTTCCGACCTTCCTCCCTGCGGTGTAAGTGCATATGCGGCCCCGTTCCCCCGGGGAGATGGGACTCTTGCTAACAAGGGGATCCAGCAAACGTGCATGAACAACATGATTGCCCAGTACTCGCAGCTAGGCTGTCGATCGCTGGATTCTGCGTGCCTCTGCAAGAACGCCAACTTTGGCTACGGCGTGAGAGATTGTGCCAACGGCGCATAGGGAGCGGCTGTCGCGCCGACAGTCACCAACTTTCCCAGCAGCCACTACTGCTCTCCTACGCCGGGACCATAAACTGAGAAGCAAATTCGAATTTTCTACAACGCAGTCCACAAGCCAGTGGGTTGGGGCCCTGAGAGTTGGCGTATTATTGCATTATACCCGGACGAGAAATTATACTGAAATCCTACATACACGTTTATCCTAGTCATCATCTTTGACCCAGCCGTGAGATCTTCTGATTTGGATAGTACGCAAGCTGTCTACAACGTCAGAACAGCCGTGATCCATCTCTTCAATTAAGTCGTGCTCAATTTTTGCCTCGGTATATCCCCCCTCGAGAGTTGTGTCGTCCAAAGCATAGCTCATATCAGCCCAAAAGGAAGGATGCTTGTCCACCAATTGCATCTCCGGTTTCTCACAGCCGGAATATCTCAGCTCCCCAACACTGCGTGCCAGCATTCTGAGGTAGACGAGGTACTTTGACTGACTCGAATCCACTTCACAGAGGATTCCACATAGTCTCTCCTCAAGCTGATAGCAAGCAAAAGTGCCCCGCGAAAGTAAACGCTCGTCCTCCTCGATTTCGTCGTTATCCTTCCACTGAATGCTGTAGTCCTTGAAGACTTCCCGGCCAAATTGGATATAGCCTTCTTTGTAGAATGGATTTTTCTCGCGACTATCGTCTACCCCTGGAGGAATAGGTTTGTTGTTGACATCGTATTCGGGTTCTTTGAAGTCGATGAACAGTTTATCGGTAACATAGGACGCAGATGGGAGAAGATATGCGTTGGGAACGATGCTCTGATGATGCGCAAGATTCGGCCGTATAGGGAATTTGGGCTTTTTGGCGTTTGGTTTCGGTGGTCGAGTATTATTCGCTTTATTGCTAGCAGCCTGTTGCGTAGCAGGTGTTGCGTCTTCGGCGATAGCTGGCTGGCTGTTGTGTTGGACGGCAGGTTGCGCGGAATCCGGCTTTACTGAGAAGCAACCGAAAGCATACAGGGCAACAGCCATAATGATATTCCAATTGGCGGGAGAATTGTCCCGGCGAGAATATTCCTTTTCTTCATATCTGGCCACTTTGATCCACTCATCTGGTACAACGCTCGTTCCCGGCCGAACAATACGTAGATTAATGGTTAGCATCTTGAGATGCTCCGGTCGATAAGGGAAGCTCATCCAGGTAGGAAAGACGCCAACGTCTTTAACAATCATAACATCCAAAACAAATGGAATTTCAATATTGCCCGACTTGATTTCTTCCTCAATCAATAAATTGGTTTCGTAGCGAAGTTGGCGGTTAGTAGTTCGCAAGGCATTACCGTGCAGATATCGATTCTTGTGTCTCTAAACATAGAGATTTGTCGTCTTGGGAAAGTCGTCATCAAAACAATTACGCAAGCGCACCCGGCTCTCGATAAGCTTTCGGTTGAAGGTAGGCTCACTTTTACGTCCGCGCCGCAACACCTGGACAATGATAGGGCGGCGGAGTTCCCATGGAAGGTCGAGGAGCCTGCTGCTTTTGCTATATTGAGACATGCTGGACCCTTGATATCTCTTGTTGCTTTGCGATGTTTGTGGTTTTTAGGAAGTGATTATTTTGGCTGAGAAGTGTCGGGCGGCGTCAGGCGGCGCGGATGCGGTGACGTTTCGGGTCCCAGTTGATATTGCGCAGGTTGGACGAATAATAAAGAGAATGCGGCACGAGTAGTATCGAGCACAAGCCACACCTTAAGATCCCGCTTTATCCGGATTAACAAATGTTACAAACCGGTGTCGTTGGACGTGGCATTATCGCCTGTGTGACAGCCGAGCTGTTTTGTGACCCCATACAGTTCAAGGATTACGAAGAGGAGTCGAGATTGGTGTTCACCAGAATGGCTGTGCCTGATCTCCTGCAGACCAAGAAGGGCTCCTCTGGGCTGGTAATCCTCGTCAACCCACCTTGCACAGATCGCCAGAACACCGTGTCGATGTGGAGATGTCCAAAGATCCGACGAGACAGGGACCTTCGAAGCGGCGCTCTGGAGCTTGGCTGTCAGCTGCGACTGGTACCGGCTAAAATTTGCGGCGATGTGACGCATTGCCTTGTGTCTCGAGGCCATGATGAGATCCTCGATTGCCGGATTGCAAGCCAGCACAATATCCTGCATCTCATCCCACATTACTGACGAGAATGGTAGCCGACGAGGACCAGACAGTTTATCATTATTGGCGCATAGACGGTATAGGAAGCATAATGCCCCTGAGAAATATGTAAGATTGGGCACAACAGCCACAATGTCCCACCCAAGTAGGTGTGCGGCTTGATGGCAAAAGTCTACGAAGCCATCAATTGATTCCTTTGATCGCCAAAACTCAATTGGGCTAGCGCCATGTACAGGGGCTCCCAAAAGGGTAATTTTTGAAGCCCAGACACCCAGACAACATCAAATATGCCACCAAGACGACGTATAGAATTTTCAGTAGCCTTATATATATATATATATTACTTCACAAGATAAGTAAAGCACTTTATATATAAACTTTCTTACTAGCTAGCCTTGTATTTACTAACTTCCCTAACTACTTTAGAGATTCTGTGATAACTAGCTACCGACCTACGCCGTGACCAAGGTAAGGCCATATGTCTGGAGGATCCTATTAACAGGTTGGAAATAGGTCGTGCCTCCACGGCTGCAGTCGCCGGAGCCTCCCGAGGTGACACCCTGCGCCTGGGAGCCGGAGTAGAAAGAACCGCCTGAGTCGCCGGGCTCGGCGCAGACGCTAGTCCGAGTGAGGCCCGAAACAGCTCCTTGAGGGTAGTTAACCGTGGCGCCCTTGGCGCCAATTATGCCGCAGTGGACTTGAGTGGTTGAGCCGGAGCGGCAGATGCTAGCTCCAACAGCAGCCTCGGAGCTTCCTGAGACGGGAAAGCTCCCTTGACCGTAGCCGTTGATGTAGCCTCTAAGGACTGTTCCACTTACAGTGCGGACGTAGGCCATGTCGGCACTGCCAGGGAAGACGGAGCCCGAAAAGGTTCCTAGGGCCTCACCACTACTTGTTGTAGCTGAAGCTCCTGATCCTCCACAGTGTCCAGCAGACACAAAACCTGTGGTTACTGCGAAACCAACAGAGCAGCGGGAGCTTCTATTAATATAATAGACATCGCCACCCTGGACCGTGGCCATGGTAGTCGGCATCGTCTCAACAGTCCGCACCTGGAATTCGGTCGTAAGCCCAACCTGCGAGGCTAGTTGCTCAGCATAGCCGTGACTGTCGGCGAGAGCCTCTATAACGAGCTTGTTGGCGGCGACATCAACGAAATACGATGCAATGCCAGAGCTAGTGTCCGAAGATGTTTCCAGGGCGTTGGCTCGGCCGATGAATATCTTATCAAGATCCTCCTTGGCCTTTTCCAGCTTGGACAGGCTATTGGTCATGACAATCGGCGTGGCGCCGGCAGCAGTGACCTCATCGGCCAAGGCTTGGTCAGTAATGCCGATGTATAGCACGTCCGCGTTAATCCAAGCACCAGCGAACGCTACTGAGCTGCGCAGCTGTTCGATAACATCGGTGGCATGGATCTCCCGCGCCACACGAGCAGTGGCCTGCTCGGCGTTCAGTCCCAAGTCGCGCTTCATGGCCTCCAAAATCTGGGGGTGCAGGCTTGCCGCCTGCGTTGGTGCACCGTAGGCGACGGGCAGGATAACTGCCAGTAAGGCAAGAAAGTTGGTAAGCTCCATATTAAACGAAACACAAAGGTGAGAAGGGGTTGAAGGCTTTGAAAGTGTAAAGCTATATTGGAAGTGAGTTGAGTGCAGAATGCTGCTGTCAACTGCCAGACTAAATAAGGGTATTTATATACTTATTTGGATTTACTCTGTTCCTTAGCCTACGGCCAGCATGGCACTTTGCTATACTACAGCAAAGAATCGAGTGTAAGAATACATGGCACATTTATGCGGGGTAATCGGCGTTATTCTTAGTGTACCAAGAATAGTTGTGCGACTGCCTAATCAAGGCATATCGCCTGTAAGCTATTGCAACCCAATCTATGACTTGGCATCTCCACAGATATCCACCGTCGCAATTTATATAGTAGGTGGCATGTTTCAAACTAGCTTTTATCGCTATTCACCTCTTGGTACGATGGTACATGCCTTACTAGGAAGGAGAAGAAGAAGAGGGGACAAGGTTTATCTAGGACCTGCTTTATAAATAAAGTCCTGTGTTGAAATCCCAGCCTGCATAACATAACACGCGCAATAGCTCGCGCTCTTGTTGCAGTTATGTGCGTTTCGTAATGTATCAAGTCAAGTCCAGAATATTAGATTAGGACGGTTTATGTGTTCAAACTCTGTAAGCAATTGGTAATATCCCAGCTAGCTTTATGTCGTCTTAATCCCTATTAGCTATTGCCTAGTCTAGCAAATCAGGAAGGTAGACCTGGGTTCGTGGAATTGCCAAGATATAACCTACTTATTATCTGTATACATGAATGGAACACGTGTCTACGAGTAGAGAAGCGCCTATACAAATTAGGAATGAGGGTTTCCTTGTATACAATCCCAGGGGCTATTTGAGGCAACCACCTCAATCTATTGCTGTAACGTTACCTACCTTTTGTTGAATACACGTCAGCTCACAGAGACTCCTCGGCTTTGAGGCATGTAGTGTTTTGGCGAGCACTGTTGCCTATGCTCTTTCGCTTCAATTCAGAATGTTCTATTTTATCTCTATTCCACAGGGTTGACCGTATTATAACCGGCTAGTATAAGTTCCACGATTGCCATACGCGAACAGATAATTTGCTATTTTATGCAAACGCAATTTTGTTTTATCCTTGACTCCAAGACGCACATCTAAGGGGGGCATGGAAAGACTGGCTCCCGCTGGAGCGACGTCCCGAAGTCGTTCCAGAGTACACGCCCAGACGTCGCAATAACCTGTTTGTGGATTGATCTTTAGCGCGATTGGCCACGAGCCTCAACTGTCGGATAAGGCTGCCTGTTTTAATTGAACAAGCAAACTTGGAGTAATTTCTGGATGTCATAAAATTATAGATATCAGAAGTTGGGAGGCTGGCCAGCTACCTGCAATAAAATCACGAAGTAGAAACGACAAAAACCACGCTGCTGTATTTCGTATTCAAGCCGCGACTCGGTAGCCAGCACATGAGTTATGCGGCTTGTTACACCATCAAAAAAGAACCCTAGCGTTCATGAATCGTGTTAAGACTGAGCCGACTTCTATCCCTCCTTGAATAATAATTCCATTTATACCGGCCGTTGGCCGTATGGCCGCCTTAACCAAACATAGTGGGCGGCTTCTACCACGGCTTCATGTCACTCGCCCTGCTCGTTCCCACCCTCTGGGTACCTCGCCCCTCGGTATCTCCTTTGTCTACTAATTTTCGTTCGTTTCTTCACACAAACTTTTTCAACTTTTTTACTTTATTCAAAGTACCCTTCCCATCCCCCCTATATGGTCAGAGTATAACTTATACCTCTGTGCGCCAAGTGTGCATAAACACTATGGGCCACACATATTCTCTGCGATAACTACGGTCTGAATTCACTTATCTTTACACGGAGGGCCACACTCATTGACAGTCAAGTCACTTTGCACGTTCTGCAACACCGTTACTCACTGCGATTGTTCGAGGTGCTGGTGCTCAGGCCGCACGGGCCGGGATCTATAGCTCTGTCCTTCTTTTCAAGGTTTCTATTAGTAGCCAGGGGAAGTCACAGTATACCTTCTTTGTCACAAGACCATTTACTAACTAAATTAAATAACGATGCTATTCACAACTCTATCTCATCTAACTACTAAAAAAAACCGACTATATACTCTACTACTTTTGCTGCGATGGCTGCTTCTACTCCAGGACTTCCTCTCCTAAGTACCGTCACTTTGTTTATTCCCTAAATCCTCCTGTTCCTTCACAGAAGCAATATTGACCCTGAGGGTTTGAAGTTAGGACACAAGCCCAGCAAACTATATCTCTGAGCTTACCTGTAACCCCGTCGCGATATTCACGAGACTAGACACTTGCTCACAACAACTATCTACTAATATCTTTACACGCGTCACACGTAACCCAGCCTCCCCGGCCTCATGTTCTAAAGAGTCTAGTCAAAGCACTTGCTTCTCTACGACAGCATTTAAAGACTCTACGTTCTTGAGTAGAGGCAAGACAGCCTGATCTACTGACTAGATCAGACTTCTGTCCCTTGTGATTGGGAGGTTTATGCATGGTGTCAACGCCAAAAAGCCTGCTACCAACGCCACAGGCCTCTTTTAATGGAAGAAAGCTGCTATTATTCGGTATTGCCGAAATGAAGCCACTAAAAGTCTCTAAAAGCTCGCGCTACAACCCTATTAAAGCCGGGCCTTCAATAGCAAAATCCCTCAATAGATGACTTTCTAGGTAACCTGCTAGATAACCTATAATATCTATAAAAAGGGCCTGTTTTCCCTCCCTAGATAGTCTCAATACAAGGACTTCGTCGCTGTTCAATTTAATCTATGCTAGTGAGAACTTAGTGGCAATAGCTCGTACGGGTGTCCAAGGATGTTCTGTCAACCTGGATCCTTGCAATGAAATCGCCTGGTAGGTAGGACGCTACAAGCAACATCGAAATCATGACTGCTTGATGTGAAAGTGTTGCTTCCACCGCCGTCTTGGGCGGCGGAGCCAGCAGCCAGGGGACAGCTTTAAACAGTAGCTAAAACAGAACTCACGTAAAGAGGCCTTAACACTAACTTAAGCGTGTGTTATTTATAGCTAGATAGATTAAATAATAAGCAAGAATAAGATTATAATTACCAGCGCGTAGCCGCTTATACCTGTAATAATTATCACCTAATTAGAAGCCTTGCGCTTCTAAGAGAAAGAGTTGTATCTAAATATCTAAATGCGGAATTCTTTATTTGGCCAGGTTTGTAACCTTCTTTATCGTGCTCCCGCATAACGCCAAGGCGGTTAATTTGATAATTACACACTGGAATGCATAATTTCCAATGCGAATTGGTTAATTTGGAAAACCCGCGGATGTAATGCCGACGTTTAGCATCCGGCATTTCGGGCTTATAGATGATTCCGGGTCGGTAGGCCAGGTGCCAAAGGCCAGAGTGCAGGCCGGCCGTACCAGGCCCGGCCTAGTACACCACCTGGATGGTAACGGCAATAGTAGTCGGAATACTTTTCCGAGACATACCTTGAGTTTCCGCTATATCATGAAAGAAAACGCATACTAAGCTGTCGGTTAGTTAGCAATAAGTGTAAGGGACCACGGGAGGGGTCTACGAGCGAAGTTATAAGAGCTCGAGGGTGCAAATAACAAGCATGTATTATAATAAAGCTAATAAAGAGAGACTTTTGTGTGTGTGTCAAGGAGAGAAAAAGTAGCTAAAGTGCACAGGCGTAGCAGTAAGCTTTGTAGTGCCTGGCACGTGACTGTGGGTCCCAATAATAAGTCTCATAATATGACAATTTCATGCGCACATAGACTAAATTTGTATAAGCTTAGAGCGCGCTTGGCAAGCATGGCTTAGCCCTATATCAGACAATATAAGTAGGTGTCGCACTTTTTTTATGCTTAGAAACTTGGATGGGAAGAAGTTGTATTCCCATGTAAAGTATACAGGTAGATTAGTAACGTGTCGTTTGAGTAGCTTATCAAACATGCACATCGGCGCTGGCGGCAGATTGGCCAACCCACGAATACAGGGGGCCGCAGGTCTCTTGTTCGGGAAAAACTTAAGAACTAATATATACACAGCCTTCGGCTGAAAAACAGCTGGTCGGATATATAATTCCGGACTTAAGCTATCTCCGGTTAAAGCGCTAGCGTCGAAATAATACACGATCTGTAATAGAGATATTAGTAATTAGCAAGCTTATTAGTACTATTTATGCTAGCCTTCTAGTCAAATCTATTAATCTTACTAGTAAGTAGTTAATATTTAAACCTTTATTAAATATACGCTTATATACTAAGCTGGCGAGGAAAGCTTAGCGTACATTAAAACTCGTAATAGCTAGCAAGCAGGCGCGAGAGATCGGTTGGATGTACATTACAGTTCGGCTTTATCTTTATTCCCGTTAACCGGAAGCTAAAAGTGGGTGCGGCAAGTAGTTGCGCAGCCCATAGCACTAGCTATTACTTTATCCACATAACAGGTAACTTTTAATATTGCAATTCCATATTAGGCCGGCAAATTAGATCACTTTAGCTTTACCCCCGCTTGAACGTATCAAAAATCAGGAGATTTTATAAAGCCGAAATGCTATACTACTAAACGCATAACATGTGACAGGGGCTCACAAAGAGGGCTTAGAGCAAAAGGGGCTCAATTCAATAATAATCTCGTAGAATATCAAAGGTCCTGAGTTGCTAAGAGGAAAAAAGAGAAGAGTAATTACTTTATATACATAAAAGGAACGCCTAGGCCTAGGGTTCTTGCCCAGGCACGTGTTCTAGCTGTGTAACTAACAAGTCTTATATCGGCGTGAAGCCCTTTTGTTGGGCTTCACGATCTGTTGGGCCTTTTCCGTGTAACATAACACAACCACAAGTAATAACCGGCGTTGCAGGATTCCGACCAATATTGCACCAGACAACGATTGTATTTATTGTATCTACTAAGAAGCTATTGCCGAGAAATGCATCAGGTATTACAAGCTTGGCATTGCATTTATTAGGGGAGCAAAAAACCTGTATACCCGTATATAAAAGGACCCAGCATCTTCTCTAACGCTTCACAATATCCTTATCTACTTATATATTTATACCAAGTTCCCTCTCAAGAATCCAAGCCCAAGTCCTTCGCACAATGTATTCTATTACTACAGCTGTCGCCGCTATCCTGGCCCTTACTCTTACCGCTAAAGCCCAAACTATTAGCGGCCAATTTACTCACTATGATATCGGCCTTGTTGCCTGCGGCGAGACCCATGACAACACCGAGATGGTTGCTGCTATAAGCAAGGACAGATTTGGTCCTAGTACTACACTATGCGGCCGCAAGCTCCGCATCCATTACGAGGACAAGTCTGCCGAGGTTACGATTGTTGATAGTTGCCAAGACTGCAGTTCCAGCTCTTTGGACTTGTCTCCCGCTGCTTTTACGGCACTTGTTGGCAGCCATGAACCTGGCCGCGTTGATGGTACCTGGGAGTTTATTTAAACTAGACGGTTTACATACGCGGATAACAGATCCTTGGCTTTAAGGGATACTGTTTGGGCCTACACAGTTATGTCTGGTTTAGTATAAAGGCAATATATTATTATTATTACGCTGCCTTCTTCTAGCTAGCTCTTTTCCTCTCGTATTAGGATTAAGCTTTTCACTTCTACTAGCCCTCTTAGAGAATATATACTTGTTCAGTTATATCACGAGCTCTTGTGCCTAGGTACTATTAGGAGGGTATTCATCCCGAATACCCTGAAAATTTAGGTGGGAGTAGGATAAAAGGGTCAGGGTTTTTCAGATTAATTTTTTGTCAGCGAGAATTGCATTCACATGAGCCCAGGGCTGACCAACAGGGTGGTCTATGTGATAGAACGGATGGGGGTCGCGTTTCTGATCTGACAGGACAAGGTCGATCAGCGTACCAGCCACATCCTCGGCCGGAGTCCAGCGCACCGTTCCACCGAGGTTTGGCAGAGCCTTGACTGTCTGCGACAATTTGACCAAGAAGCTGATGTGCTCCATCGGGTTCCAGTAGCCGTGGCTCTTGGACCCTGCAACGACATCTGTCTGGGTGCTTGCGCAGCGTCTCGTCGAGCATCCGCTCGCATCCCCATTTTGCCTCCCCGTAACCGTTGGGAAGTACCGAGTCGATGCCGAGCCTTGCTTCAGGCACCACCGTCGGCTTCGTCTTGTCCTTGTGCTCCTTGCTGTCCTGTAGGCCGTACAGACCTACAACGCCTATTGAAGACACCATTTGGAAGCTGACCTTGAAGGAGGACAGACGCCGGCTGGCAATGTCGGATGACAACTGGATCAGATTCTGCATCACTTGAAACTGAGGCTCAAATCTGTCCAGGGCTCGCTGTCCACTCATGGGCCACGCGTTATGGATGATATGGGTAATAGAATCTACTAGATTTCCGTAGGTATTTCTCTCTAGGCCTAGCATGGGCTTGGACGTATATGCTTGCAAGACAAGAAGCTTCGGTTTGAGCGTCTCTGGGAATCGAATCCCCTTCTCTCTCATCGTCTTGACCTGTCGCGTGTATGCATCACCTCTATTCTCACGGTTGAGGCAGACAACTCTCTTTAGGTCAGCTCGCTGAGCCAGCATGTACGCCAAGTGAGATCCCAGGCTTCCTGTCGCACCAGTCACCAAAACGACTGTACCCTCTTCGGTTGGTGCCGAAGATGAAGGGACTGACTGCGGTGCCGAGAATCCGGACGTATACTTGCGAACGAGTCTATCGACAGCATTTTGACGAGCCGTTAGTGCACTGCTTTCCTCTTGAGACCTCGGCGGTAGATCAGATCTAATCTCGGACACCTTGGTATCCGTCGTAGGGAGAGACGCAGCAGCTACAAGAAAAGGAGAAGATGATTGTGTGGCAGCTTGTGTAGTGTCAGAGTCTCCTCCGAGCAAGTATGCCTTCAGTTCGCCCACAGTTGGGCACTCCAGCAGCAATGACTCCAGTTGGATGCCGAGCCCAAGCTCGTCCCGGAACCGACTCGTAATGACCAGAGAGAGGAGAGAGTCTACACCTGCATCGGAGAAGACAGTGTCGTTGGTAAGATCTTCCATTGCTACCCCGCCCTCCTCCGAAATTATTTGGAGAGCTCGGTTGACGTCGACTTTTTGAGCGAGTGGGCCGTCCTGATGTTTCTCAAGGCTGCCTCCTGCCATAGAAGCGGAAGACGACACGATGGTATCCGCATATTCGGCTGCGCCGGAGGTAGGGTTCGATGTTTCAGCAGAACTGACTGTACTACAAGTTACTTTACCGACGAATGTCTTGAGCTCACCGACGGTGGGATACTCAATGAAAAGGGCATTAAAGTCCAGATCCACGTCTAATTCTTCTTTGAAGCGCGCCGAGATGGTCAAGGCAAGCAGAGAGTCGATACCGGCGTCGGCAAGGACAGTACCGTCTGTCAGATCGGTCACAGCCAGCCCGCTTTCTTCAGCAATGATTGAAAGTGCTCGCGCAAGACCTGACGGGGTTTGCGATCCGCCAGAGGCAGGCGATGAACGAGCAGCAGCATCTTCTTTTGCGGAGACGGGATCCGGAACAGCCGCAGCAGAGCTAGAATGCCGGATGATGGGCTTTGCCGGGTCAGATGTGGGAGTCTTCATAGTTGCGATTTCTGACCGGCTTGTCGTAACTTGTCTCTGGGATTTGGCGCCACTCTCAATGGTCAGTATTACCTTCAATACCCGGCGTGGCACGCGTTGGATCTACCACTGTAGTTGGCTAGAGTCCGTACGAGATAAAGACAATGGTAAAACAGGGTAAACGAACAGTAATCTGCCCGAAGAATGCGACGACTTTGTCATGGTTATCCAAGACTACAACATCTCCATGGTACATGTTGTCTATACCTTCCTTCATGAGCGTATAAGTTCTGTAAGACTTTTGCAGATCGATGTCTTCGAATAACTGCAGCGAGCCCCAACCATGGTTCATATATATGTCCTCGTCTAGGTCCGCGCTATCATTGCAGTTCATGGTGAAGCCGCACGACTGTGTCAGGGCATCAATGACGGCCGGGTGAGTGTGGAATTTGCCGCCCTTCTTCAAGGTGGTGAAGTTGAGATGGCTAGAGCACTCCAGTTTGACGCTGTCGAGAATAGCCTCATCGACGGCACGGTAGTCTGGGTGGAATCTAGCCAGCGGCCTGATGGCGCGATAGGCCATGGCCCGGTTGTAGCGGGCGGTGGTGCCGTGGCCGACACCGTCTCGGAGAGCTTGTAGCCGCTGTGTTACTCTAGACACGCCCTTTTGTAGTGACTTCTGGAGAGGTGGTCCGTCTTTGAAGCGCAGCGGGCAACGGGAATGCTCCTGTAGTTTTTGTTTGTTCTGTATTGGCTGTCAGAAGTAGCTTGGAGTGAGTTTGCAAGTCGTTAGCGCTCATGATTATACAAGAAGATGAGCTCCCCGGACATAACATATACTTACGTCAAAGGACATGAAAACCACAACGGCAGAATTGGTTGACCAATCAACATGGGCGTGCCCTTGGAGAAGTTGCTGCTTTTGGCCAGCCCGCAAGATCAAGGCTTTGGTAATGGTCATATCGGTCACGTCGACGAGATTTCCAGCTTGGCTTGGGCGATAACGTTGTACAAGGTACGTTCCTAGAGTCAAGGAGATATCCGCGTAGACCGATGGAGTGCACAGCGGGATGCCATCGACCTCGTGCCCCTGAACGACCGGACTCAGGTCCGGGCGTTGGATGTCAGCCTCGACAACTACGCGGAGCTGGTCAGCGGAACATGGTGTCTCTTGGACAACTCTGTGAATAGTCGTGGTGTCGAGTCTCGGGCCCCCACCGCTGTTGATGATAAGGGGAGGGTCGCCTTTGCGCAGCGACCAGTCGTGCAGATAGGGGATCCAGTAGTCTGTCATGTCCCAGTTGTACAATGGCAACGAGATGACCTTGTGCGAGCTTTTGAAGTCACGGTGGTACTCTAGCCAACGGATATCAGCTCCCGCTGTGTACATATGCTTTAGGGACGCAGTAAGAACGTGCCAGGTCGACCGACCACGCTGGCATGAAGCGAGTGTGGGCACATGCGAACCCAAGACAGCGCGGATCATGGCTCCTATGGCTGGGTGCGGCCCAATCTCCAACATGGCAGCCAGGTCGGTGACGACGTTGTTGTTACGTGCTGCTGAAAGTGCTTGAAGCATATTCACAGGCTCACGCGAGTGACGAACCATGTACTGGGGGCCAAAGACACCGACATCCTTGACGAGACTGCCATCTACGGGGCAGAGCACCGGCACCGTCGGCTTAGAAAATCTAACGTACTTGGCGACCTGCTCCAGCTCCGACAGCATAGGGTCCAACTGCGCGGAATGGAACGCATACGGGACCTTGAGAAGAGTCGCCTTGAGTGACGCACCTGTCAAAATCGCTGCTGACTCTGTAATAGCGTCTTTGGTTCCAGCCAACACTGTCTCAACAGGGGAGTTAATACACGCAAACTCTACCTTGTGTTTGGTAACATCACCCTCGACGCTCTCAATCTGCGCCACTGATGCTCTGATAACCAACATGGCGTGGGTGTCACATGTGCATCGCTCCTGGAGCAACTCGGCCCTCTTACCCACGAGGTAGAGGGTGTCGGCGTCGGATAGCACGCCGGCAGCATTAAGAGCAGCGTACTCCCCTAGGCTGTGGCCGACAACTGCGTCGGGGACGATACCCCAGGATGCCCATAGACGGCATAGCGCAATTTGCATGCATATGCTGGCTAGTTGGACCGCAGCCGGCAAGAACTCGCCGATATCGCGGCCCTCGTCGGCCTCGATGACGGGCAGCATCTGCGGGAAACCAAGGGCGTGGGCAATCCGCTCCAGCTGCAGCATTTCTTTGCGACAGACGGAGAAATTGTTAAAGAGCTGTTTGCCCATACCTGGGTACTGGGCGCCCTGGCCCGTGAAGGTAAAGATGATGTCGGGGCCGCTCTTTGGGCGAGTCACTCCCGCGTCCTCTCAAAGCGCACTCTCGATTTGGCGGCAAAGTTCGTCGGTATTGGCGCCGGCGAGCATGACACGATATCGATGATGCATTCGACGAGCCGTCGTAGTGTAAGAGAGTTGGCCTAGTTGCACATGTTGCTCGTTCTGCTTCAAGAAGCCATGCATGGACCGGAGATTAGACTGTAGCGACGCCGGGCTCCTAGCTGAGATGGCTACTAGATGAACACTCCGAGGGTCAATGTCCGTACTGGGAGGAAGAATAGGTGCATCTTCAATCAGCATTGCCGAGTTGCCGCCTGCGGCGCTGAAGTTGTTGATGAGTACTCTCCTAGGCTTGGCCGGGTCGCTGCTCCTCTCCCACCGAGTCAAGTCAGTGGCGATGTTGACGTTGCGCTCTTTGAGGTCTGTCGGGAACTTGTGGTTAATTTTTGTCTTGATTCCGCAGTATGGCGGGATGGCATTATGCTGCATCATCAGCAGCACTTTGATGAGAGCCGATGAACCTGATGATGCCCCGCCATGCCCGATGTTTGCCTTCGCTGAGCCGAGATATAGAGCCTCATCCTTGGACCGCCCGCGAGCAACTTCCGACAACGGCGGCGCAAAAGTCTGTAGAACACTTGCCATTTCCGTGGCATCACCGGCTTGTGTACCTCTGAAGTAGGCAAAAAGGAGAGTCAACCACAAGATTCACACAAAACAGAAATAAAAACGGAGACACAAAGGTTTTCAAGGATTTCTAAAGCACTTACGTCCCGTGCATTTCGACATAGCTGATGGAGTAGGGGTCCGCAATGCCTTCGTTCAGGATCTTGCCAAAGATGGCGCGCTGCGCACCGACATGTGGACGGGTGATGGACTCGGATTTGGACGAGTGGTTCGTGTACGAGTGTAGGATCAGTGCCAAAATAGGATTATTATCGGTAATAGCGTTATCAAGACGTTTAAAAACAACTGTCCCGACGCCTTCGCCACGGCAGTACCTGTTAGCCGTATTGTTAAAAGTCTTATAATTTCTAGTTCGCGAGAGAAAATGACCTTGATCAAGGCCGGCGTGGTAATCTGGGTTTGTTATGAAATTTATTCCATCGGTAATAGCCGTATCAATATCCCCTCTCCAGAGAGAGTTACAGGCAATATGAAAGGCGGATATAGCCGACGAGCACGCTGTATTAATAGCGTAGCTAGGTCTATTAAACTTATAAAGGTAGTTAATTTAGCTAGGGATAAATACCCGGTTCCCTCTAGGAATTAGATATGTATTAATATCTTAAGCACTATTAGTCTTAACCTAGTTATTTCCTGTGATACCATAAAAGACGCCAACTTAGTCCCGACGGGTAGACGGCGTGGCATCTGCGATAATACCAGCTCGCTCAACCGCCTTGTAGACCGTCATCATGGCAAGACGCTGCGCGGGGTCAATCTGCGGTGCCTCTCGAGGCGAAATATTAAAGAAGCGCGCGTCAAACAGGCCCGCATCTTCAAGCCAGCACCCATACAGCACCGTTCCCGTGTTCTTGCGCCCCCCTGCCAGGTCAACGTGCGTGTTGACGTCCCACCGAAGTGGTAGAGTAACCTTGTGAACATCCAGACCTTGGCTCAAGAGGTCCCAGAATGCCTCGGTAGAGTTAGCGCCACCGGAGCGTTTCGAATGCACTATAGCGGATAGTAATACGTATTGGCCTGTATATACGGAGCTGTAGTAATATTTAGACGGATTATTTTTAATATTATTATAGTTACTAAAAATAAAAAATAAAAATTTCCTCTTTTTTTTTTAATTATTAAAAGTTAATTCTAATAAAAAGTAAAATTAAAAAGTATAAATTTTAAAAAAAAATAAAAAAAATAATAATTTTAATAAGTAAAGTTATATTATATTAAGGTAAAAAATTTTATATAAAAAAGGATAATAAATAATATTAATTAAATAGGATTAGTATAAGTACACTTTTTAGAATAAAAACTGCGGCTAGACTAGAAGGCCTGTAATAGGCTTGTAGGCTAGTAGGCCTGTAGGTTGTCTGTTCCGCCTCTGTCACGGCGTTTAATGCTGTAACCACCTCCTAATAGGTCTTAAACTTAGGATACTAGGTTTACTGCCATGCTTTTAAGCATAATGCAATTCAATATAACAAAAATTGTCTCCGAATACACTATCTCGGGGTTAGCGAAGAAGAAGGCGCCCATGACTTGTTATATACCCTGTGCTGGCAAGGACATAGACAGTTCAAAATCGTGTCCTCATCTTGACCCGCATGATAGATGAAAGCCCCCCAAACAAGAAGTGAACCGAGATTCAAGCCATCGCATAACTGCAGCAGTCAATGCGGTTAATATACATGGAGCATTCAACAGCCTTGCAACACCGAGGCCAAATCTGGAAATTGCATCGCCATGGCCGATCAGCTACAAAAGACAGTCACAGGTTTGCTTAGTGAGTGCATTGTTGCCAGCTTTGAAACTTGAGCAGCTCTGTGGCCCGTTTCACTCCGTCACATGGCACGAATGCTATTTTGGGGCTGTTGATTAAATGAAACCTTGGCCGTCAAGTATGAGCGCGTATATTAACACACGACATTTTTTGTGAGACCCAGTACTACACTTGATAATGCCCAGAATTTCTAATAACAGCTTATCGACTTGTGTAACTTGGAGCCCCTGGATTGAAACATGGGAGCGACTCAGTTGCAGCGCAATAGTAGGCGTAGGAATATATAACAGGCCTTTAGAGAAAGGTTACATGTCGAGTCATTAGAAGATAGAATATTGCGTTGGAATACTAGTCGCTTTCCAGAATGCAAAGATATATAATATAGATATAATCCATCGTTGGCGTGTATTCAAGTCAACGAGTATTTCATCTTTCATGTCACACTTTCCCTCCCAATTTTGTCATCTGAAGTCTCCAAAGTGCCATTTACCCAACAGAAACATAGTCAATATGGTCCGCTTCAGCTCCATACTGTCTTGTATGTGCTGCTACAATCTGTGTATGTGTATCAAGTACATGGCTGACTTGGGAAAACAGTGGCCGTGGCTGCTCATGGAATTCAAGCTGCGCCAACTGTGCGCAGGGGTGGTCTTGAACCGCACACACGGGATATCAGCCAGAAGATTGGAGATGTCGTAGCTGACTTTGCCGATGTACACGAACAGCGAGCGGCCGGCGACAAGAGGGCGGCGGCAAACGTGAGAGCCGGAGGGAGGAAGAGATTGGCACCACCACCCATGCAGGCCACGGGTGGTTCCAAAGGGGCTGCTAAAGGTCAACCTGCTAAATCGGCTGGACAACCTACTAAACCACCTACTAAACCAGAGGGACAACCTGCAAAAAGTCAAGTTGCTAAATCGGATGGACAACCTGCTAATCCGCCTGCTAAACCAGTTGGACAACCTGCTGGACAACCTGCTAGGCCTGCTAGGCAAGCCACACAGCCTGGTGATACCAAGAAAAACAGCAGCCCCAAACAAGACAAGAATAGAAATCAGGATCGTCCTGCCGAAGCACAGAGGTTGAGACAACCAGCCACGGCTAACCCGGCTCTCCAGAGGGGTGGGGATAGACCTGAACCTACAGGGACCCGGAAAAATCTAAACGGGTCAGGCAAAGATATTTCACGCCCTAAACAGACTGGGAGTCTTAATAGGGGTGACGTACCTCTCCAGCGGGAGGGGAGTAATGCTGAACCTAAAGGGACTCGGAAAAATCTAAACAGGCTAGGCGACGATATTTCACGCCCTAAACAGAGTAGAAGTCCTAACAAGGTTAATAGTCTAGTACCACAGCAAAGGGGAGATTCTAGAGGGAATATAAACAACTCTATAGTTACTCTAAACCCGAAGGGAACGAGCGACAGTAATAATTCACGCCCTAAATAAAATAAGATTCCTATTAGGGGTAATATATCTCCTGGGAGTAAAGATAAACCTACAAGGACTCAGAAAAATCTAAACGGGCCAGGCAATAATATTTCACGCCCTAAATAAAGTGGAAGTCCTAACAAGATTAATAGTCTAGTACCGCAGCAGAGGGGAGATTCTAGAGGGAATATAAACAACTTTACAGGCACCCAAAACCTAAAAGGAATAGGCAACGATAATTAACTTCCTGCTCAGAGTGGGAATCTAAATGAGGCTAATAGTCAAGTACCCTAGCGGGACGCAAATTCTGGTCAGAATAAGAACGACTCTATAGGGACTCAACAAGATCTAACCGAAACAGGCAACGGCAATGCACTTCCTACTCAGACTGGGGATCCAAATGAGGCCAATACTCCATTACCCCAGCAGAGCGGGAGTCCTTCTGACAGTACAAATCCCAGCCAGAATGCAATTCCGGGTGACGCGTGCTAGGGCCGACTAGCACGCAAGCAAGTTGCTGGTAACTAATAGGCCTTGTTCCTCCCAATCAGTCATGCGTATTAAGTTCACTGGCTGGATACAAGGTGCTGCATGGTTGAGCGCACAAGTCAAGAAAACCGGCCCTGATGATTTTTATGGTAGTACTGTGATGGTTATTTCTCTGTAATATGGCTGCGGCAGCATATCAGACAAGTGCTTACAATGCGGGGGTTGGATAATGGCATTCATGAGTGTAATTGGGCGATTTATTACTAGAAGACGCAAGTCGGAAAAGGGAAGGGGCGGGCAGGTTCCGTAGATTTGCATCTGAATCTTCATCCAGTTATTTCAGAAAGGCGTCGGGGCTATCAGATCTTGACTATTTCCGTCGCTGAGTGAACTAATAGGAGTTCGCACCGAAAGTGCGTGCCTTGTCGACCGTAGGGCGTGAAAACGGCCCCACAATAAACTCTATCCGTGCGTGGCAACCGTGGGTAAGGTGATCGCGTGCCGAGGCTACCTTGTTGGAAACGAACAAACCATACCAGCTGCCATGTCAGCAACTTGCACAAAACGTCGACCAA